CAGAGTTGGGCAAATTGTAATCAGATTAATGATTAAGGATTACGATTACATTTTGTAATCATCAATCAAGATTACAGATTACGGAAATTAATCAAGAAAGTAATCATATCGGTGATTAATGATTATTAGTTTGTAATCATTATTTTGATTACTTTTTTGATTACTTTTTTGATTGATGCATACTAACTACATTTAGGAATTCGAAAAATAAAATCATTAACATTGTAAATCATCTTTATTTTTTGATCAGTCTCAGTTTTTTAATAATTATTATACTTAAGAAAACAATCAAGAATTTTTTTTTATCAATATATATTAAAATATATCAAGAACTAGCTGGCCCGGCAAACTTCGTACCGCCTACAAATGTTTTTTCTCACCTTATTTATCCAAATCGGTTCAGCTGTTCTTGAGTTTTAGCGAGACTAACGAACGGAAATTGATTTTTATTTATATGTATAGATGTATAGATTATAAAAAAGATTTAAATAACGAAAGAGTACAAAACGTCCATGACATCCAAATTGAATCAGAAGTTTTTAGAAAAACTCAGACATACAAGATACATACTGATTGAATATAGAACCGCATTTATTAAAAATATGTTTAAAAAATTAATCAAATCTACCCATGTAATTAAGATTACTGATTATTGTAATCAAAACTAATGATTACAAATGTAGTCATGATTGAAAGTAATCAAGATTAAAAGTAATCATGATTGATGTAATCATGATTACTTTCAATCAGATTATTAATCCGATTACAAAAGTAGTTGATTACGCCCAACTCTGGTATATACTACTCTGTCAAGAAAGTACCGGAAAAAGTCAATAGGTAATACACAAAATGTTTGTTATTCACCCAAATTTATTTTATCACCTTCAAAGAATGCTGCTTCAGAAACGATACACTTGCGGCAACGAATAATCCATTCATCAAAACATTTTTTAAACGCTGCTTCCGGAATTGAGTTCAGTTCTCGTCGTGAATTCTCATTTATGTCTTCTATCGATTGAAAACGGGAGCCACGGAGTGGTAATTTGAGTTTAGAAAAAAGAAAAACGTCAGCAGGAGCCATATCTAGTGAATATGGTATTTGTTGAGTGTTTGGTAAAAAATTCGTTCACAATGATAGCTTTGTGCAAAGGCGCATTGTCGTGGTGCAAAATCCAAGAATTTTCTTTCTACAAATTTGGCCTTTTTAGTCGAATGCTCTCTTAAACGCCGCATAACGCTCAACTAATATTCTTTATTTACCTTCCGGTAAGAATTCAGAGTGCACAACACCGCGATAGTCAAAGTAAACAGTCAACATGACTTTGACTTTTGATCGACTTTGGCGTGGTTTCGGTTTCGGTTGAAAGGCGCCACTCCGCTTGTTGCCTAGTTTGCATGTCAAACTCGTAAACCTACGTCTCGTCACCAGTAACAATGCGTTTCATGAATGTTGGGTCCGAACTGACTCGTTCTAGCATGTCCTCAGCGACTTTCATGCGTTTGAGTTTTTGGAGAGAATCTAGATATTTTGGGACTAGTCGAGCTGCAACATGTTTCATACCCAAATAATTAGTTAAAATGGTACGGATCGACTCGTGAGCTACAGAAAGTTCGGCGGCTATCTCTCTCTTAGAGTTGAATGGGGATTTTCAGTCACTATTTCCTTCACATTTGGGATGTTAATTTCAGTTGCAGACGTTGACGGCCTACTAGAGCGCGGCAAATCTTCCATCACATCTCGATCGCCTTTGAACGCTTTGAACCACTCATAAGCACGAGTTTTTTATAAAGTCGATTCACTGTAAGCCTTCTGTAACATTTTCAGTGACTCCGAACACGAAATTTCATTGGCGATGCAAAATTTAAGACAAACTCTTTGTTCGATATTTTTGTCCATTACGAAATTCGCAATACACACTATAATTATAATTATGATATTACTAAAACTAGCATTGTATTTAATTTAAATAACAGATGCAACTCAGACTCGCGCCAAAATGGAAAACAGTTGTGCCAATGTAACAACTACAAAAATCAAAAATTTGAATTTGGAACCATAAACAAATCATCCATTCCCGATACTTTTTTGACTGAGTGTAAATCTGTCCAATCGTGCTTCTTACGATTATACATAAAGCTTGCAAATCTTGAAATGAGGTATTTGTGATGCAGCGACGGAGATCCAGAACATCCAGATAGGCGAGGGCGACGTGTGCCGCGCGCGCGACGTGCCGCTGTACATGGTGCTGCCGCGACTGTTCACGTGCCCCACCACCTCCACGCCGCACTTCAAGATCGGTACGGCCCTGCACTACACCCTGCCCTGCGATACTCTACAACTACACTCATTATATTTCATTTTTCAGAATTCGAGCTGAATATTGCTGTTATTTTTGACGACGATTATTTGGTAACGGAAAATTTTCCAATATTGTTATTAAGGAGCAAATAGCAAGAATATCTTTAACTACAAACTACGACGGTACTTAGCCAAACATCGACCCTTCAGCGGCTACTACAGCAAAAAGAACAAGTTACAACTACAGCCAACTCTGTCTTGAAACATAACGTAAATATGAAAGTTTGTGACTTTGTGAGGATTTATGGCAAAAAAACTACGGAACAGGTTTACATGGAGTTGATGATGATTGGAGAGTCCGTGAACTGGGATACTTATTACATTACAATTATTTCCAAAGTATATTATGAAATAGTATGTGTATATAATGAAAAATAATTATTATATTAAGTAAATGAGTAATATAGAGTAGCACTTAGATTATTGTAATACAAATTGATTAATCATACAAAGTGGGTCGCATGTACCCATTGCGTTATTATAAAGAAATGCATTAAATTATTTCCATTGTTAAATATTTTGTTTTTCTTTTGTATTTGATAGCAGCACCAACCAACCAACTGTACTAATAAATAAACCACGACAAAGTTTTATCAACACGTTTATTTCTCTTAATTTAATATATTTATGTTGCTTACATTGTAAAAAAGACATTTATTTACATTTGATTGTTGATATTGGTAGGTAATAGACTATTTGACAATATTGAAAACATACCATGAATTACATAACAAGTTTAAACATATCTATGAAATTTTAACATAAAAAAGATTAAAATTTTGTAATTATTTAAATTTAAAAACGAATAATAAAAAAAATGTACCCATTAAACATACTGATACCATTTCCTAGAAATAATAATGTAGCTGATGTTATGATAAGCATATTTGTATCAGAAAGAATCATAAAAATGAAACCAAATAAATCTGTTACATAGCTTTAACTCATGTCAGTATTCGTTACAAGTACAAACCCAGTACATAGAGAGTAACACAAGTCTTAAACTTAACACAACAAAACTGATTAGTATATTGTAACAGTATCTACACTCATCCTACTAGGTATAAGTATATGAACAAGTATATGCTGTGTATTTCCTCTCGCCGTAACAATCGTACGTGATGTCGCATGTCGTCTATACTTACTCAGTCCATGCTATAACCCAGTTACTTGCGAGTTCTTTATAAATACATTCGGTACGTCGACAAGACAAATCTTTCACTGTCAATCTACACAATATTTACAGTATGTGACAAGTGTTCCTTGAATACGAAATTACACGTTACGGATTACGTTACTGAAGAGGAGCGGTCTCAAAGTATTTAGGTAAAATGTACGGGATCTGATCTATAGGACACCTACAAACGTGGACAATTTGCATAGTATTTTACATTTCATTTATCACTACGACATGATGAGGAATTATTTAAAATGCTGAAAATAATTATCATCTGTAGAAATCGAACCTAAACAGGGAGTAATACTTTTCAAGTTTATGCCGCAGTAGAAGCCTATTCCCATACTTTAACAATGATGTTACAATAATTTTGGCAAGTACTGGAGTACATAATATGTATCACTGCTCCCCGCGCGCCTCGTCCGTGTCGTAGGGCTGCACGTAGTTCCGACACAGGCCGTAGAACTCACTCGGCCGCAGGCTGCGCTTCATGGCCTCGAACCTAAGCGGGAGCGGTAGTTCTTTATTCAAGTTTATTTTTTTTCATATTATTGTACGAAGGCCCATTTTTAGTAACTTCTTGGTTGCGTTTCATGATCTACGAAGAGGTATCAAATCCCGGGTCGATCAAAGTAATTGCATACTATGGATTCATAACATAACTGGTGCAAGTGGGTGTTATCATATATATAGGTACTTACTAATGTGTAAAGCTGACAAGTTTATTTGTTTGAGCGCGCTAATCTCCGGAACTAGTGATCCAGTTTTAATATTTATTTTTGTGCTAAATAGCGCATTTATCGAAAAATGTTATAAAATATCCCGCTACAATCAATAAGGGCCGAGCAGAGCGGGTGAAACCCGATGCACTTCTGAATAACACACTCGGTATGCACCTGTATACAATGCTGTACCATCTAGCAGACCAGTCAGTAGAGCCAAATCTCCATAAAAGCGCGCCGCGCACAATGAAAGTTTTAAACCGATTCCTGGACTCAAAGTGTGATGTGTTTTCGAGTGAAAGAAGATTATTTTTGTCGGAATGCTTGAAGTTTTGCGAAAGTGATAGATGAATAATGGTAATTAAATATAATTAAGTATTATACTAAAAGTATCGCGCGGTACAGTACCTCCAGCCGACGTGCACCATGCAGTTGGCGCAGACGGCGACGGTCCAGGTGTAGCCGGGGAACCACGAGTACTCCGCCGACGCCGCGCCGCTCGGAGCCACGCCGCACACCTCGCTCACCGTCAGGATGTCGTGCATGTACCCGCCTGCAGCACCCAATGTTACACACACACCGTCAGGATGTCGTCATGTACCCGCCTGCAGCACCCAATGTTACACACACACCAGCGCCACTTCGCGCAACTAATAGGTACTACTCAGCAACAAAGTGCAAATTAATCAATTACATCTCCTCATAACTATGCAGAATGCAGTTTGTGGCATTAGAAAACTTTTAAAAATATGTGAAAGTTATACAATTGAACACGGCTTAATTCATAATACTAAGAAAAGCGTGTGTATCGTTTTTAAGGCTGGTACTAGATGCCGTGATATCGTACTCCCTATAAACAATGGAGAAGAATTAACTAGAGCACCCTACTTCAAGTACCTAGGTCATCTAATTACCGAGGATCTTAGTGACGACATGGATATCGAGCGTAAACGTAGGGCAGTGTCCGTCAAATCAAACATGACAGCTCGCAGGTTTGTGCGATGTACTAGGGATGTTAAAATCACACTCTAACAAATTGTAGGTACATCTTTTAAAACCTGCAGCCTATGGGCGGTCTATGGGTACAGCGGGGGTCATGTACCCGCCTGCAGCACCCAATGTTACACACACACCGTCAGGATGTCGTGCATGTACCCGCCTGCAGCACCCAATGTTACACACACACCGTCAGGATGTCGTGCATGTACCCGCCTGCAGCACCCAATGTTACACACACACCAGCGCCACTTCGCGCAACTAATAGGTACTACTCAGCAACAAAGTGCAAATTAATCAATTACATCTCCTCATAACTATGCAGAATGCAGTTTGTGGCATTAGAAAACTTTTAAAAATATGTGAAAGTTATACAATTGAACACGGCTTAATTCATAATACTAAGAAAAGCGTGTGTATCGTTTTTAAGGCTGGTACTAGATGCCGTGATATCGTACTCCCTATAAACAATGGAGAAGAATTAACTAGAGCACCCTACTTCAAGTACCTAGGTCATCTAATTACCGAGGATCTTAGTGACGACATGGATATCGAGCGTAAACGTAGGGCAGTGTCCGTCAAATCAAACATGACAGCTCGCAGGTTTGTGCGATGTACTAGGGATGTTAAAATCACACTCTAACAAATTGTAGGTACATCTTTTAAAACCTGCAGCCTATGGGCGGTCTATGGGTACAGCGGGGGCGTATAGTGCCCGGCGGGTACAATATAGTAATGCCCTTAGAGCGATGTTGCGGCTGCCTCGCTACTGTAGTGCATCACGTACGTTTTCGGAGCCGCGCACGGTTGCTTCCACGCGACTATGCGTAAGCGATGCGCCGCAATGGTAAGCATGCGTGGTTGAGGATAATCTAAAGGAGACTCTGTACATGAGTCGATGTATACTCATATAGGTATTGATACCTCCAGTCATGGATCGGGCAAGGGTCGTATATACCTGTAGATAAGTTATCCGACAAATACTAGTCGAAGTCTTGTAATACTAACCAATTGGATCATTGTTTTCTGAATAAAAAGGTTTTATTATACATACATTACACTTTTGTAATTCGCATTTCTTTCAAAGTTTGATTTTCCGGTATAGGGCAGCAAATGAGTAGTCAGATCACGACATAATAAGCAACTGCCAGTCTATATGAGATTATTGTAGTACAAATTATTCTTTTTTATTGAATTGAATTCAATAAAAAAGAATAATTTGTGAACAACACGACATTACAAATCGTTCGCGTGAGTGGTGACATCTGAATATTGTAATGGCTGCTGGCTGCGATTAATTTTGGAATGTCAAAATAACGGTTTTGATATTTCGAAAAAAAGCGAAAGATCCATATTATTGAAATCAGTTAATTATGGATGTTACCTTAGCAAGTAAAATATAGTATATAATCGTACCTAAATTAGTATAATTAGAGTGTACTCCTTCGCTGGACATAGGGAATATGTGCTCCTTCCGAGCAATCTGCGCCATACACGACGAGCAACAGAGTACGCTTTTCTGGAATCAAATATAACCAGTAGTGTAGAGGACAGAGGACGAGCGATGTATAGGAGGGGGGGGTACGTACTCTGCGTATGAAGTGCACCTCCATGTGTAGCCGCAGCAGGGCGTCGTCCACCGCGAACAGTGCCAGGCGGTCCGCCGCCGACAGCGCCAGGTTGGACGCCACCCAGAACGACAGCGACACCGCGTCCTCCGGCAACTTGTCCTCTGTACACACACACAGTCTCAGCCCGGGCGTCGGCCGCGCGCCGCCCGCCGGCCCGTACTCACCCAGCATGATGGTGCGGAAGTAGTCGTGGATGGCGTGCCGCATGGACTCGTAGTCGAAGATCTCGTACACGAACAGTGGCCACGGCGTCACCGCCGCGTCCAGCGTGCGCAGGCGGCGCTGGACTGGCGCGCTGCGTACACACCCGTAGTATACGGACACATTTCAGGTTTATAAATACATAGCGAGTGGTCGTAACGTACAGGTGCGTGGGTCCCCGCAGCGGGTCCAGCGAGTGCAGCCGCGCGGCGCGCAGAGTGTCGCGCGCGCACAGCTCCGGCAGCACCACCACCTCCACCGTCCGCATCCTGGACACACAGGCTCGCTCTCTATAGCGCCACGCTACAGGGGCCGGTAGGCGCCGGCTGTACTTGCCTGGCGTATGCAGACAAAGGGATCGTCGTCTTGGGCATCTTCAGCAGGCGGAAGCGATGGATGGCGCGCGCCTTGAACGTGACAGAGGTGGGCTCGTCCTGCGTCTCGTCGATGCCGGCCATCATCACCTCGCACAGCACGCCGTACCCCGACAGCATCACGCCCACCTCGCTGCCGGTCACAACTTCTACTCACTACTCCAAACAACATTACGGGACACAATAATTACCTACGTTGCGTAGGTACGTACTAGATACAAGTTTAGAGAGGGAATTCGTAATAAATGTACTCTGCAGACTAAGCACACAGATGGAAACAGTCAATTAGCTACGAACTGGGTGTCTTCAAGGCCCGAGTGAATAGGTTGTTTATGGGACGACGTGCTACATCGTAGACCGCATCATCGCTTACCACCAGGCGAGATAGTGGTTAAACGTCGGCCCATCAAATATATAAAAAAACATTTCAAATAAAAATGCTGCCCTTTCTGATGCAGACTTGAGACATGTATAAAATGTCACATAATCATGTAACACCTATGGGTATTGCTTTGAGACTTGTCTCTTGGGACTGTGTGTGAAGGAGTGTGTAAGATTACTCAGGACAGAGCAGGCCGAAGAGCTTGTCTCGGCGGATGGCCTGCACCAGCAGCGCGGCGTCGTGCGCGCGCGGCAGCAGCATGGGCACGGTCTCGCCCGGGAACAGCACGCCGTGGTGCGCCAGCGCCGGCACGCGGCCCGCCCAGCCCGCCTCCACCACGCTGCGCCCGCGCACCACCGCCAGCCCCGCGCCCAGGTACTGCACGCACCAACACCACTCAACACCACTTAGGGGGTCATGACATCCAGGATTGAGACGTTTGTTCCGTAATTAATGGCTTAAGATGGTTAAGAATACAGAAGGAACTGATAACAAATTAAATGGAACACCTACTATTCACCAGTTAAAAGCACTTACATTTAATTTTTATTCATTTTAGGATTAGAAACACTCACAGGTAGTAAATACATATGGTTTATCAATGCAAAATATATACAATTTGAAATTTCTACATAAGTTTATATATATATTGAAAGAATATACTTTTTTGGATAGAAACAGTTTACGGAAACTATTAGATAAACCTGTTCTTTTTCCCTAGTCTAACGGAATACAGATCTAAGATATTTTTTTACTGTCTCATAATCAAAAGGTCAATAGCACTTGTATTAAACATGTAGATTTCAGCTTCCCAGTAGACCAAGTAGTACATCCTACTCACCCTCACCATGTTACAATTCTATCTGTACTATTCTGTAATCTGTACATAGTCACTGCTGCTGGACTGCGCAGTAGTCGTAAGAATGCAGTTCTCGTAAGAATGCAGACAGTACCAGATAAAATACATACTGAATGAGAGGCTGCTATAGATATATCATAGAAATGTTCCTCTTCAGAGTCTGCCTCCGAGCCATTGCCGTCCTCATTATCACGTTCGTCATTAGCATCGTGTCCCAGGTGAACGACATCGCTACCGTCAGCACTGTCATCGTCGTCCTCAGCACCTCGGTTCACAATCTGTAGATCTTCGAATCCGTTATCACTGCTGTCGCTCTCTGGAATTTTCGAAAACATCTGTTATTGTGTTTCGATACGTAGAATAATATGTTTTATATTTTTAAATTAAAACAGTATAAAATATGATAATAAATCCGAAACAAAGAGTTTATATTTACGTACCGTTGCCGTCCATTAGTCTTAAAAATAAATCTTTCAGTGAATTAATATTGTTATTTTAAGGAATGTTTTTATATTAAAATAATTTACAAGTTAGATGGTCGGTGGATAAGATATTTATTAGACACTTTTTATTTGTTATGAATAACAATAATCACAAATAACGCATCCAGAGATGGACTGACAATGACATTTGATCATTTGACAAATGAAATGACAATGTCATTTGGTTTTATATTAATATGCTTGACAAAATTATATGTAATTTTGAGACGAGACGAGAAGAGACGTCTGTCTCCTAAGTCTACAAAGAACAAAGAATACTATTGTTATTATTCGATAATTAAACAAAAACCAGTATCCAATAATAGTCACTCAGTCAGTCATTAGTCGGGATTTCAGAAACAGTTCGGGAGGACAGAAAAAAGTGTCCCTTGGCCTCCCCATTTATTCACAATGCAATTTATAGTTCCTTGACGTAAATAAAGTAACGACTAGTAATAAAAAGTTAAACAATAGTCAAACTTTTAAATTTTTTATTTCCGAATCCGAACGTATTATTATTATGTTCACGTTTTGTTGTAAGTTTCCAATAGGTATTTTTTATGTAATCTGTTGACTTTTGACATTCACGATTTCGCGATTGCACGTCTCGTGAGTTGAAGTAGACTGTTATTGTAAAAGTATCCAATTGTATGTAAGAAATGTGAATAAACAGTGCATATTGCATAGTTGCAATAAATAAGTGCATCAAAATGTATCGTAAAATAGTGTGGTGTTACGTATTTGTATTGACGTTATTGGATATATCACTGAACACTAAGCTGACAGCTCAGGGAAAGAGTCATGGTAAAATCGATTTATATCGTTATATGAAAATAAATTTGTTTCTTCCTGTTTTATTTATTTTATAAGCTTTAATGATACATTTTAAAGTTCTTAACATAGTAATCAGTAAGAGATCGACAAGAAAAGATATAAAATACCAACAATAAGTTGGCAGGTACATCGTGAAACAGTAGTATGCGGCACGATGTTATTTTAGATCGCGGCCGAGACGGGCTGCTCATTCTGTCGTTTTACTGTATCTGTGTTTATGAAGGAAAACTATGGTGTGTAGCCAATAGTGTAGGCACAGCATAGAGCAATATGTTCTGATCCTGCTCTGACTGTCTGACAAGCAAAGTACCCACATGCAAGTAAATGATTATAAGCAGCACAGCCAACTGATTGACAGACTTGTTGTTGGTTGTGGTGAAAAGAATTTGACCCAATAAAGTTTGATGAAGTGTTTTATTTGTGTTTTCAGGTGTAACAGTACATGATTCCCTCATTGAGGGAATAACTTTTCAGGTGAGCTTTTAGTCACTGTAAGTCACTAAGTAAGTACATATGTGGGTAGTGTTAATTGTTCACTTCTGGTTTGCGGTATGCTCCTATATTCCGTAATATACAAATATTATATATATTGACATCAAGGAAAACATAAAATGAAAACAGGATAAGTGAAACAATACTGTATGAATTTTTTATTTCAATGTGCTTGGTAATAGAAGCACCAATCATAGACATATTTACAGTCCTAGCACTAATGAACTCATGCTATATGAAAGAAATGCAATGAGTAGAAAGTAGATGTGCAACAATATCTGTTGATTGTATATTGTTTATACATAATACCCTAGTAAAGTTTTGCAATGTATTGGCCAGTTCTGAATAGAAGAATAAGAACGTTTATTTGCTCTAAATTTGCTCGAACGTTTATTTGGTAATTACAGGTAATAATTATTATAAAAAAACATTCCCACATACATCGCCTACTGTTTTCGGCATGCAAAGATAAATTGTACAATTAATAATGGCACGCACAAACTTCAATCTAACCTGTCTGCCTGACAGTACAGTAAAAGCTCTTTATTTACGGGGTATACATTCCATAAATATGCCGTGAATACGGAATCGTAATTTATATGGGATTATAGGGGATATGTTCCTAGGCGACGAAGTTTTTAAACATTTTAATTAATTATCTTAAGGCTTAAGAATCATTGGTTTGAATAATTTTGTATTTTTTTCTTGCTTGGCACTTTTCAAACGCTCCTTCAATTCAGACTGATACGCAGCAGTTGCATTAGCAATTTGCCTCTAAAAAATTAGACTATGTTCCCATAGACTGATCAATGTTCATACAGAAATCGTAAAGCTCATTGGCCATTCTTAAACCTTCACTAAGATTTTTCAGTGCTTGTTGAAGCCTCATTTTCAATGACATTTCCTCCAAGTCGGTCGGGATGTTTGCAGTCAAAATTTGAGCTTGCATGGCCTTTGACTCAGGCCGTCTGTTTGTTTATATTTTTTTAGGGAAAACCTACAGTTATTTGGTAAAGTGTCGGACAGACACCACTATCAAACTAGATATAAGAATAGATTAAGTCAGCCAATTTCGAGATTAGCGAAAGTAAGTAAGTCGTTCATGGGATTCTGTGTTAAATGTTATAAGATACCAGGCGATGTACAACAACTAAATGAATCCAAATTTCAAAATCCAGTTCCATAGTTCATCACTGGTAACACACACTGATTATAGACTTTCGTCTTGAGAAGATGTTGCGTAGTTTCCCAAACGCTGCCCATCCAAGTTGGATTCGACGATTGACCTCCTTCTCGAAATTGGACTTACCTAGCTGGATCACTTGTCCTAGGTATATATATTCGTCAACAATTTCGAGGGTAGAGCTCTCAACTGATATCGGGTAGGGCGTAACATAGGCGTTTGACATGACTTTCGTCTTGTCTATGTTCATTTGGAGCCCTACCTGTTGAGAAACTCTACAGAGGTCATCGAGCATTGTGCTTAGATCCTCCAGCGCTTCTGCCATGACCACAATGTCGTCGGCAAACCGGAGGTGTGTGATGTACTCGCCGTTGATATTGATGCCAGATCCTTTCCATTCCAAAAGTTTGAAGGCGTCTTCCAATGCAGCGGTAAACAGTTTTGGAGATATGACGTCTCCTTGCCTTACACCTCGCTGCAGAGGAATATCCCTCGTGTTCCGGTCCTGTACTCGGACCGACATAGTGGCGTTTGTGTACAAGCACTTTAAAACCTCAATGTACCGATAGTCAATATGGCAACGCTGGAGAGATCTTAACACTGCCCAAGTCTCGATCGAATCAAAGGCCTTCTCATAGTCCACAAACGCTAAGCATAGTGGCAAGTTATACTCCTCGGTCTTCTGTATAACTTGCCGCAGCGTATGGATGTGGTCTATGGTGCTATAGCCTTTCCGGAAACCGGCTTGTTCGGGAGGCTGGAAGTCATCGAACCTACGTGTGAGACGATTCGTAATGACCCTCGAAAACAGCTTGTAGACATGGCTCAGAAGTGAGATGGGTCTGTAATTTTTCAGTAGAGTATTATCTCCTTTCTTGAAGAACAGCACTACCACACCTCTGCCCCATGCGGCCGGCGTTACTCCTTCGAATATGACGGAGTTGAAGAGCTTTTGAAGTTCTTCTGAGTTGGATGCCTATTGGAATATTTTTATTATTATGTATGTACTTATTAGATCCGCGAATAAAAAAATGTTTAGTCGCGAATATAGAAATTGGGTCGCATTTTTTGAATCCGCGAATAGTGAAAACGCGAATAAAGGACGCGCGAATAAGGAGCTTTTTCTGTACTTCAAATTGATTGAAATGAAAATATTTTTATTATGACTTACCTATAAATAAGTAATTTCCACTCTTAAACTGTCAAACACCAAGCGGTCACCGGTGACCGCAACCTATTGTTCTATAATTGTGTCTACAAAACCGGTACTCGACGAGTTAATTTAGTAAAGTGGTGTATGTCATGAGTCATGATTGTCAAGTAAATGGATTATTTGTATTATTGTTGAATAGTTTACAGCAGAGGTTGCCAACCGGTCGATCACGACACAACCATTAGTCCCATCAATCGAGACAAGGCAAAAAGACATTTATGTGAGTGGTGGATCGAACAGGGTTTCGTTAGTAAAAAGCAGATCTTATGTCTAATATCAATGTAAAATGGTAACAATGATCCTGTATTTCGCCTGAGAAGGGACAGTTCCAGATTTCAATTTTTTATTTGATTATACCCTCAAATACCTCAGCCATTTCAGACTCTTCGTGTTACCTACAGTATTATTTGTGTTTGAGTTACTATACTGAACAAAACATCAGTAAGGGAGGTAATTAATTTAATTATTTTAAGAACTAAACTATCGTTATCTGGTTGCTTATTACCTTGACACATATAATATTATTATGTACCAGCTACTTCCGCGCGGTTTCACACGCTCTGCTCAGTTCCTATTGGTCGTAGCGTGATGTTTTATAGCCTATAGCCATCTTCGATAAATGCGCTATCAAACACAAAAATAATTATTCAAATCAGACTTGTAGTTATAGAGATTAGCGCGTTTAAACAAACAAAAAAACAAACTCTTCCGCTTTATGTAATAGTATATAAGATTATTAATCAGTGAAATTGCATAAATTGATGTAATAGTTTTGGTGATGGCAAGGAATGGGGAAAGGAGTCCGGTGCGGAGGGGGGCGCGGGCGCGGGGCGCGGGTAATAGCAAGTAGAAAATAAACATGAGTGTGTTAAAGCTATCCACGACTGTACTATATACTGAGCTGTAAATTTTAAAATTTTAGACGCTGGACTTCGGGCGCGCCGCGCTGGCCACCGCGCATGCGCTCACCGTGACGCTCACCAACACCGCCAACACTACCATGCACCTCGCCTCCGTCGCCGGCACCACGCCCGACTTCCACGCTTCTTTCTTCGAGTCTAAGGTATCGTCTTCTTGCGTAAACTTGTTGTACCTCGGTTAGGTTCGCTTTATGTATGCTAGTGCTTTCAGCCCGTGGGGTCGTAAACAGTGATGCTATTATATGCTCATACGGAGAGCGGACTGAAATTGTAAAAAATATTTGATTGTCTTTTACGAAACATTTCATTACCTTCAAAATTACAAATGTGATGGTTGATACCACATTTTAATACCACAACCATTAGTAGAAGCAGATAGCCAAGTACAGAGTGTATAGAGGCAACAAACCCGCGTCCGCCGGCGGAGGTGCGGCGGTAACGTCCTGAAATAGAATATGTCATTGCGGTTTCTTATCTGACACACATACATCAATACGAAGTTAGCCATTCTGTCTGTCTACCACGCTGTGCTCAGTATACTGATATTACCTACGAATAAGAGGTACGTATGTAACGATAGGATGACACCGACAGAAGTCAATGAGGGCTACCGTTTTATTGGATCATCAGAAGCAGCTGAGGGCTCGTGCTCTTCGCTGCCAAGGGATTATGCCAAGTGGCGATAGTGTGTTTGTATTACAATGCCACGAGCACGGCAGTCCGAACAAGGCGGAGTGAGTGCAGCGTCCGTGTTGCAGACGCTGGCGCCGCAGGGCAACACGTCGTTCAGCGTCGTGTACCTCGGCCGCCGCGAGGGCGCCGCCGCCGCGCACCTCTACATACACACCTCGCTCGGCGTGCACAAGTACCCGGTACGTGCCACTCAGCGCGCCATCTTTTACCGCAACCTAACTATTTAAGCTTCATCAACTACTGTAAGCATTACAGAAACCATTGCGCCAACTCTGCAATCAGTAATCATGTACTTAGAAATACTTTAATAATATTGTGTACTTAGAAATACTATAATGGTACAGATTCAGTATTATTGACTGCACTGTGGACGCGGTGACTAGGCAACCGGCTGCCATGCAACGTGTCGCGGGTTCGATTCCCGCAAGGAACAACATTTTGTGTGATCCACAAATTGTTGTTTCGGGTCTGGGAGTCATGTGTATGTGAACGTTTATAAACGTATAATGTGCATGTTTATAAACGCACCCACGACAGGAGAAAATCCTAGGGTGGGGCAACATTTAAAGAAAAATAAATAAATATATTGAATTTCTTCGTATCGGAATTTTCAATTGTAATGATCTTTGCGAATCGCCATAACTTAATATTGTTAGAATGTGTAACTAAACTGGAAACAAAAGTGCAAAATGTACGATCGATGAATGAACCGAGCGAGCGGCGCGCGCAGGTGTCGGCGGTGGGCGTGGCCAGCGAGTGGGGCGTGTGGCCGCTGCTGGGGCTGCGCGTGCCGCTCAACGCGACCGTGCAGCCGCTGCTCACGCTGCGCAACCCCACGGCCGCCGCCGTGCAGGTGCGCGAGGTGTACTCGTCCGCCGCCTGGCTGGGGCTCGAGCTGCCCGGCGGCGCCGCGCATGCGCCGCGCGCGCTCTGGACCGTGGCGCCGCACTCGCAGCGCGCGCTCGTGCGCCTGCG